GATTTATAAAATGCGAGTGTGTGCGCGATTGTGTATCTATTGCTTTTACTGATGTGCATATGTAGTAGTTGGCGCGTGGTAGGGGCCAACTGGAGACACCGGGTTCCGATACATTCAAAACTGATACATTCAACTACTGAGCATATCTCCTTATTTCTTATATCTATGTTTCTTATCATACCTAGGCATCCAACTAATATCTTCGAAAAAAAAACAGAAAATCGATAATTGTAATTGGTGCGAGGCAATCATTTCAAGGGTAGGTAAAAAGCTTTTGTTTCGGTTAGTACCCACATTGTGCCACATTCTTCTGTCTCTTTCTGTCATGGAATATCAGACCCACAATCCTTGCCTGTACTGTGCTCCCCGGTTTGTTTTAATATTTAGTCGTGATTTGACTACGGTTACTGTGAAACGTATCCTAGTTATCATATCCATATCATTTTTTAGTTATTTTATTATTACCCAGTTCTGTTAAATTTCGTTGTTGTTTTGGTTATTTGTTAAGTTTTGATAAATTTGTTTTGATTTTGTTATCGTCTTGTCACAATGGCGGAATTCAGCAACGAAGAATACGCTGATATTATTTACGCGTATGGCCGATGCCTTGGAAATACACGTGCTGCACAGACATACTGTACAGAGAGTAGCATCCCAACAAACGTGTGACACCACAGCACATTTTCGAATACCTTTCCACAACTTCGAGAAATGGTAAACTTAACTCGGTTACTCGGAGGACCACTAGTCAGTGCAACGTAGCCTCTATATTGCTGTAGACGAAGCCATACTCCAAGCGTTCAACGAGGATCCCACTACCAGTATTCGAAAGGTGGCCAGAGATCTGGGTCTTTCCATATGGAAATTATGGTTTGTCGTCAATGCAGATGGAAGGCATCCTTTCCACTACCCTCCGGTGCAAAGTAAATTACTAAATTTATCTAATCTAATAGAGGATGGAAAATATGGAAAAATTTGGGATGTGCAAGCTTGATTTAGAAAGGGAATGGGGTGTACAGATCAAGTCTTTTCCATGCGCATGATCGCGGAGAAGTTTTGGGCGAAAAACTAAAAAGTTTTTTGTGCGTTCATGGACTTATGACAAAGTGGACAGAGATGTGTTATGGCAAACGCTGAACTCATTTAGGTTGAGCGCTGGGTTGATACAGGCATTAAAGTCTCCGTATAGAGACTCGAGTGCTTGTGTTAGGATCAACGGGGCCTACTCGGACTGATTTGGCATCCATAAAGGTGTCAGATAGGGCTGCGTAGTCGTAGGTTGAACAGCCACAGGGACCGTGGCTGTTCAACCTATTTATGGACAAATGCTTGGAAAATTTGAAAGTTGAAGAATGCGGGTTAAGGGGTGAGTTAACCGTCAAATGCCTTTTGTACGTTGATGATCAAGTCATACTTGCGTCGTCGGCGGCCCAGTTGCAAATGATGGTTATATTAATTAACAGGTCATTAAAAGAAAGGGGAATGAAAGTGAATGCAAGTAAGACGAAAGTTATGTTTTTTAAAAGAGAAGAAAGTAAAACGATATGTGAAATAATAATAGAAGGGGAGATGGTCGAGCAAGTAGATGAATTTGTGTATTTGGGATGTGTATTCAGCAGGGGTGGGAGATATGATAAGGATATTGAACGACGAGTGAATGCAGGAAATAAATGGGGCTCTACACTCTATTGTGAAGTCAGAATGTGTCAAAAAAGGCACGTATGGCAATTCACAATGCTGTGTCCCTACTTTAACGTATGGTAGTGAAAGGTGGGTGTGGCAGAAGAAGCACGAGAATAGAATAAATGCAGTAGAAATGCGGTCGCTAAGGAGTATGTTAGGGCTGAATCTGAGTGACAGGGAGAGAAACGGTGTGATATAAGAAGAGTGTGGTCTGCAAGATGATGCGGTAACCAGAATTAAGAAAAATATGCTTCGGTGGTTTGGTCATGTAGAAAGAATGAATGAGGAAAGACTGACAAGCAAATATATGTTGCAGAAGCGAATGGTAGAGTCGGAACGGGTCATCCTAGGCGAAAGTTTGTCGACCAAATTGGCGATATATTAAAAATGGGCCAAATTAACAGTATTCTTAACCGACGAGCATGTATAGGCATACAGGTAGGTATATGGACGTGGAGGAAGCGAGAGAGGTATGTCAGGATCGTGCTAAATGGAAGTCTGTAGTCACTGCCTACCCCTCTGGGTGACAGGCGTGAGTTTTTATATATGTTTATGTGTAATGGAGCTCATCTTTGTCTTTGAAAAAATGATTTTTTCTTCTTCTTGCCCTTGCACAAGAATTCTTTTGTTTTTTTTCTGTTTTGGGATACCATGGGTACCTCTCAGTAACCGCGATTGCATTGAAACTAAACCGTTTTGATTTTTATTTAACGGCTTTATTCTCGGTTCCAGGTTTGGTAGAAGATAATGCGCGACGCATATAATTCTGCCGTTTTTTATCACCCTCAATGGGGACAATTACTTGGAATTATTGCAGAATGATCTCCCTGAATTGATGAGCGACGTGCCGATATTTCATGAAGATCATCCAATAGTATTTCAAAATGATGGATGTCCGGCACACTATCGTATCACAGTGAGAGAGTTCATAGAGAACGCGTTCTCTAACTCGTGGATTGGACGACTTCGCCCTATTTCATGGCCTGCACGGTCTCGAGATCTGACTCCTCTTGACTTAAGGATATAGGGACGTGCTAAAGAGCCAGTTTACGAAGAAGAAATACAAATAAAGCAACAATTAATTGAAAGAATTGACGCTGCATTTGTAAAGGTGAAAGACGAGATGACGCTCCGTACTACAACAGTAGAAATCCGACGTAGGTGTAACAGAAACAGAAACTTTTTTTATTCTTATTGAAAATCAATTTTTTCATTTACCACTGGTTCGCAAAAAAACCTCTGTCCTGGGAAGAACCAGCAAGAAGCCCAGCGGGACTATTTTTTTTTTTCAAATAATAGCTTACAATCATGTTTACAATTAACAACACAAGAAAAATTAGAAATAGCTTGGTAGCGATCACCCTTCCCGGGGGTTATTATCATCCATAAATACCTTAATATTATAATAACCCTTTTTATACAAACTTAGTTTAATAAAATTTTTGAACTTTGCGTATGACAAATTTTGTATATTTTCTGGGATTTTGTTGTAAAAGAGTATACATCGCCCCAAGAATGAATTACTGACTCGGTGGAGTCGAGTAACTGGTACTACTAGCTTGTGTCTGTTCCTCGCATTGTGTCGCGCATGTATTAGAATTAGGGGAGATGTTTTAAACAAAATTTGTAATTAAAAAAACGTTTATTTTTACTTTTGTATTTTCACTCCATTTTCCCCATAAGCCTTATTTTTGACAAGTTGATACACCTTTCTGTTACATGTAATACGCCAATGTAATAAGCGATGATTAGAGAACTTTTTTAAAGAATTTGAACTCCTCAATCACTTTTTTTTAAACGATGCTCAGTTGACCTTTTGGACTTAATATTTTTATTTTCTTAACTTTGAGAGCCCATAACTAAGTACTTACTTATTATTTTGGGTTAAAAATGCCTTCGATAAATCAAGGATACATCTGGGACCAAAATCAAATAAAAAGTTCAATCGAAAACATATACCAAAAAAATATCGTAGGGGTAAAGAGGTAAAATTTCGGAAAATATTAGAAAATTACAAAAAGAAATAATTTAAAAAAAATGTGAACAATTAGGGTCTTTTACTTCAATTTGTATTTTACAAGTAGGCCCACCTACACGCCCACCAAGTTTGTGTAAGCCTTCACTAAACATCTTGTATAAGCATTTCATTGAATGCCTTTTACTCAGCCGTGGACCATAATATATTTTGCTGTATGTTATGTTATAATATATATATATATATAACCCGCTTCTTCAGTTCCTTATGGAAACTATGCCAAATATAACGCAATCAATATAGAGGCCTATGTTCAGCAGTGGACTTTAAAATGCTGTAACGGTTATCGGATAAAAGTAAGAAACTTATATTTCTTGGTCCAATACAAACATTGCGCTGAAAGCAGCAAGCAAAGTAATTTATGTATCTTCCATATATCGTTTATAATTAAACCTTGCGGTGCTTGAAAATACTTATAGCGTCATCTATGTAAAATTATAGTAGTTAATTTATTATTACAGTAAAATAAAAATTATATGATATTTAGAAAAGAACTGGTAGGAATATTTTTCTATTTCACGACAATGTAAAGTTTAAAAATTTTGGAACTGCAAAAGGGAAGTATAATGTAACTATTGCTAAGCTTCTATGATCCTCGCCGAAAGCAAAGAAATTGTTAATAGTTCTTTTAAAATTTTAATTACCATGTTATAGGTTCTCGGCGGTTAAGAAAAAAATTATAAGCAAATCTACTTAAAATTTAATAAATAATTTACACATACATTACATACATTTTAAAATTTTCTCCATAAACACACAACTTGTGACAGACCAGGTTCAGTCCATGATAATCGCATATTTCAAGCAAGTAGATTAAAAGCAAAGCTAGAAGGAGGAGAAATTGACGGCTTGCTTTTAGGTGACAGTGGATATGACTGCCAAACATATCTATTGACACCAGTTCTACGACCAGAAATACTGTTTACGAGAACTGTAGGTGTTTGGAAAAGAATTTTCCCATATTTGTCAAAAAAAACTTGCAATAAATCTGACAACAACATGCCATATAATAGTAGCCACAGCAATTTTATATATTTGTCGTTTGCATAATGAATTGAGGAAAATATGGAACCACCAGTAATAAGAATTGACAGAAGGAATGCCGAACCATCCAACAGACAGGGATTACTTCTTAGGAGAATGTTTATTGAACGACATTTTTGAAATGTATTTCAAATTTAACATGACATTAATTTTTATGAATATTGTATATTATTGTAATTTAGGTAATTTTATGTAAATAAAACAATTTTCACACTGACATTTTGAATAATTTAATTTATTAACTTTTTTCCAATATTGATATTTCTAACTTAAGTATTTTAATTTCTAAATTGTTTTTTTCTACTTGAAATGCAGCTTGCTGTGACTCTTTTTCCAATATTATTTCTTCTTTTTTGATCAAAATCTTTTCCCTCTCGACTCTCCATTTGTGTAACTCAGAATCCTGCTCTATATTCTCCCTGCACCGCTTTACCCGCACTTGGACTTCACTGGATAGCTTACCGTTGTTATCTGAAATAAAATAAGTACAAACTTACAAAGGTATATCTCTACAACATGTATTATTGAGAAGTGTTTTGTTTTGTAGTAGTAGTAGCTAATACTTACTAAGTGGGCATAATTGTTAATACATTATAATTAATTCTAATATTATACAAGCAAGTGCGTCTGTCGTCATCACTACATAGGTCAACTACTGAATGTTATCTTGACAGAATTTGACATAAATAGCTTGCACCCAAGAGAAGGAGGACGTAGGACCCTTTTTATCCTGGAAAATCAGTTTCCTTGAGATTTTTAAAAACAAATCCACTCATCCAAACCGCCAAAGTCATGAGTATCTGCTAGTGTCATATTATGTACACTTGTAAGTAGATAGTGTATGTAATGGAAACCTAAAAACCCTTGAACAATGAATTTATGTTTGCCTACTTCATGTCCCCCGTACATATAAATATTACATATACTTGTAACTGTACCTGTTAATGTTTTTAAAGGCAAAAGTCCTCTTTTCCTCTTGTTTAATTTTAAACTTACTGGTTTTGACATACTCTCTACGACTTCATTATCTGCAAAAAAGGAAAAGTTAATACGCAAAAATAAAGCAGCACGTTCATAAAACAAGATACTTTATAGAACGTTCAGATATAATTTATTTTCTTGTGCATATTTATTTTAAGTAACATTTTGTCAATACTACAAATAACTATATTACCATGTTCATTTTCTTTGTATATTTTCTCTGGAGCATTTATTTCCACAGAATATTTACTGCGAACAGAAACAATAACGTTGCTTAAATTCCCAAAAATGCCATTATAGTATATAATATAACTCTGCTGTTTATAGTAAGTAAAATGCAAGCTTTGTTGCGAGTAATGATGTAAACAAAACAAAGAATAAAGCTTCATCCTTACTAATGCTTAATATGTAACAAATCTCTTACCTAGGGTTTTCTCTTCTGTGTTTATGACTCCAGGTGCAGTCAGATTTATGTATGGGCAAGTACTATCTATGGCGTTTTCTGTAGTGCCCGCTTCACCAACTCTACCTCCAGTCTGTATCAAACTCCCAGCTTCCATTGACAATTCCTTCTTACGACAACTTTTTATGTTTTCCCAGCATCTCTTTAGCTGTAATGCCGTTCTCTTGGCCACAAAAGGTCTGCATTGTAGGCATTTTCAATTTCGTCCCATACTGTAGTTCTTTTTCGGCTGAGGAAAAAGCTATTTTTTGAGCTAAAAATTAAAATAATGAATGAATGAATTATCAAGAAACTCGCACAAAATATACATTACTGAGAAAAAGCCTTTGAGTTACCATTTAGCATTGTTAGCCGGAGATGTTATTTCCATAATCACAAAAATTATAATTGGTATTCAAGCTAAAATTTTACTTAAAACAATGTTTCACAAACCAGTTTGTAAAAATCAACATATGAATTGAGATTATTACTGATTGACATTTGACGTTTGAATAACAACTTGAAGCTAGCCCCGAAACCGACCGATGAAAACTTCAAATCCTTCCCTATGCATTCACTGAGTAAAGAAATACTTAAGTGTTGACTATGAAACAAGTCTATGGACATCTCCAACACTGTGAGAAATCGGACACTGCGCAGTGAGAACCAACACACTTAAATAAGGGTGGTTCTTGAATACGGGCGTTTGTGAACAGTACAGTATGACACACTTTTTCCATCCCGACGCCTTAACAATTCCGCGATACTTCGTGTATAAAGTTTCTATTCTATTCGTGTCTAAGTTCGGATTCCGGTGAATGACATCTAAAATGCGCTCCTGAGAGTGAACAGTCACTTGACTTCCACCTACTGCCGCTACCGGAGCAATGGGCCGATTTTCCAACACTCGCTGAAATGCTGCTGTAATCAGACGAGAGCCAGTTGGGTGTCGTGCGGTCTGAAATTTTTCTCGGTAAATTCGTAATGCACGCGAAGCATTCCCGCGAGCTTCTCCAAGGCACATTCACATGTTGGCGTATTCACGAGCACTACAAACATACGCATTAGGCATTTTTAAAACAAAACAAGAAACCCTAAACGTAACAAAAAAAAGTAGCAAAAACAATAATTTAATAAACAAAACAACTGAAGTATTGCTAAAGCGCACGTCAACACGGAACTGTCTCAGAAACTAAAATTTATAATCAATTCCCGCCGAAAAAAATACCTACTGCATAGTTCGTGTATCCTTTCGGTAAGCACTGATCATTTTCACAGATCGTTAAACCGTTACGACATCCCCAACTTTTATTTTATAAGTTTAGTTATACCTACAACTAGTCTTCAAATGGAATTTAGAAGTTATAGTTGCCATTTTTAATACAATTAGACAATCAATTGTAGGGTCGTTGCGCTGGTTTTCGGCCTTTTAGTGGAGTTGTCAACTTTAAGGTACTATAAAAAATAATAGCGATTATGTTGACCTAGTGTTGTTAATGTTAATTTATAGCTTATATAATGTAGTTTTCATTTTGATAACTCATTGATGCTACAAAAGAAATCTATATTTTAAAATAAATTTTGATGTGAAAAATATGCAAAACGCTAGTTTTCGGCCCCAAATTTTAGATTTCGGCTACAAGAATTTTAGTTTTCGGCCACTGTATTAGTAGAGGTAGAAAGAGGCTGTATAAACTTAAGTGTTTTTGTAAAATCAGAAAATGGCAAAAAGGTTTGGGAAATCGGTGTATTCAATTTTCTCAATCGGTGATTGCGATTTTTTAACCGTGACGTTATTTTTTTTCTTTTTGGGTGTGTTTTTGATATAAAATAATAACCATGATTAATTATTTCTCTTTGAATCATAATCTAATAATAAAATCTTTTAAATATAGCAATCAAATATTCTCATTTACGAGTATTTTGTACTTCCTCATAAGTATTTTAGTTTAACAAAATCTGTTACCATCTCTAATCAAGAGGAGCCACCTGAAAAAAAAATCTTATTGAATCTTCTTCCTAAAACGCAATGTGAATAAAATATTTGATATGATAAGATGAAATGGCCGTAAACGTAAACTAAGACAGCATTCCATTTTCCGCCACCGTATTCTTTCATACAATTTTAAGTTGGCCGAAAATTAAATTGTAATTATTTTAGAGTCAATCCAGTTTTCGGCCACGACCGAAATGGGTATTTTGTTTCATCACTAACTGTTCAAATTGCAGTACTTGGTGGCCGAAAACTGAAAGTTAGTGTCTACGCACGCTACGATTCAATATAAGTAAGAAAGATGAGTTATAGTACGTAACCAAATAAACGAAGGAGACAAAGTATTTAGGCTAAACTCAGGCTACTTTTCGGCCGCATGGCCGACAACCAAATAATGGGACAATTTTATGTGTCACTTTTCGGCCACTTAATTTATTAACTTTATCAATAAATTATTATAATAATCAGTGTCAAATAACTATATTAGGCTATTTATACAGTGAAATATGAGCACAATATTAAGTAATTATATTAAATACAGCACGAAACTTACTTTTGAATGGAACGATCGCCACTATTTTTTTTTGCTCGATCTTACCCGTTTTGATAGCTTCAGTGTCGGCGTCAAACTAAACTATTTATTATAAATCGCGTGTTGTGTTTACCTGATTAATTAATGCTACCAGATATAGTGAAACTATTTACAAATGCATTAAACTGTATTTCTTACGATAATATTTATTAAAATTGTTATTAAATCAAATTTACTGCATCAGCTCGTGCCAAAGGCCGAAATCTAGACCCGGCCGGCTTACCGGCGCATCGACTCTACTTTTACGTAACAAGCAGTTCGTTACTACAAAAATGATATTGAAATTAATAAACGTACCTAATTGGGTAACTCACTTACACAATTATAAGCACAATTTCATCATTATATTTGATTTTGTACAAGAAAATACAAATGAAATGGTACTGAATAATTTAATAGTTAAAACCAATTGCAATAATGATTGATAGTTAATTAATCTATTAGAATTAATCTAAAAAATAATTCATTTACTTTATTTTAATTGACTTTCCTTTCTTTAGTCAAGTCAAGAGGTAAGTCAAAACTATTAAAATTACTTCCAGGTTTTATTGTCCTAACTGTCCGCCTCTAATTCATATTTTTCCGCAAATTTGAGTAAGTAAATTTCGGTTTGGCAACGCTGCGACATGTTGAGGCGAATACTTATTTGTCAAATTCCCCGAAAATGCATGTCAAATTTCCCTCAATTTTATTTTAAATATTAAAACAATATTCAAGTAATTTAATAAGATTTATTTTTAATAAACATTTTTTTTTCTTTTTTCACACTTAATATTTTTGTACCAAGCATTTTACTAAATTTTTAATTCCTTCCCTTGTTGCCATTAAAAAGGACTATAGTAGCTCCATTTACACTGCTGTTAAATTAAAAAAATATGAAAGCATTAAATGATACACAAAAGGTGCCAAAATAAATCCGAGAATTAAATGTTGTGCAAGAAGATAATTAAAAAGAGAGTCATTCGATATTCATAAGTAGCCTAACAAAACTGTTAAGATAAGTATAAGATTTCTTAAAAAAAAAGTTCTGACTAGGCCAGGGCAATCTATTTTCAAAATCCCCTCATAATACCAATCCCCAACCAACTTTATTTTTCAGCTTTTATTAATTTGGGGAATTTCCCACATGTTAGCATTATAAACTGCGAGGCGACACGGGTAGGCCGGGCGCCGGCAGCGCTTGTGTGAAAGGGAAGGCTAGAGTGAGCGAAGTACAGTAATATTTATGCATTGTTTCGTACCGGGCTAAATAAAAGAGTTTAGCGTCCGCGCGTTTATTGACCCTATAATCAGCTGGTATCATTTTAATTTTCAATGCTGGCTTTATTTTTTAATATTTTTATGAATTTTTTTATGAAATTATTGTTTCATTTAGCTGTACTAACATGATGGATCGTGAATAAAGCAAATAAAACGTTGTGTGAAAATGTTTTTCTTATCTTAGGGTGACAAACTAGCACACAGTACACTTGATGGTAAGTGGTTACTGTGGCCCATAGACATCTACATCTATACTCGATTACAAATCAAAATACAGATGCGTTGTCACCCGTCAGTACTAAGATGGAATGCCTCTTTCCAAGTAAAAACGGCCTCCGGTTCTCTACACTCATCATACAAACGAAACACAGCAACATTAAGTACTAACTAACTACTATTTTACGCTGGTGTTCTGTGAGAGCGTGGTACTTCCCCGGTTGAGCCGACCCATTCGTGCTAAAACTATACTACTAATATAACTGCAGCATAGCTCTATCATGTATGAAAACAGAACTAATTTATTGTAAAAATGCTGGAACTCTCCTTAAAGATATTTTAAATTTCGCTACGCACTTTATTCTAATAATAAAATAAGTTTCAATAGTCAATTTTATTAATAAGTGTTTATGGTTGAATGTGTTATAGTTTTGTACTCCAAAACCAAACTTAAGGGCACTGGTATAACTCAGTCGGAGTTTCTCACAATGAGACGCCACAGTGTTTTTCTTGAAGCTAGGCGAAGGTATGGCATCACCAAATGTTGGACCAGGGATAGAATTATTAGTATTGTCACTCCAGATGGCACAAGACACCAGCTTGAGACTTTGTCTGTCTGAGCTTGAAGCAATATGCAACGGGTCAACTTTTGCCTCACCCGCTTATCCTATTGTGGTTGAAGTAAATAAGGCCCCCGAAGATAAAGGTGCACCACTGCGGCCGGTAAAAAATGAACTTTCTTCTTTAACATCAACATTTTATTAATTTTTGTAATTCTTATTGTTATAACTTTTCTCTGGACCCATCTTTCTATCATTATATCTACATTACTTTTCATTGTTATTTAGATAGTAAAATGTAATGATTAATAATCTCTCTTTGGAATGTTTATTATTAGTGTTTTTTGTAAGGTAGTTAAGTAAGTAAGTAGGTAGGTAAGTAAGTGCTAGTTAACGTACTAGGCAACAAACTACAACAAA